AGGTCGGTGTCCAGGTCCCTCATGTGGCGCTGGAGCTGCTTCTGCTCCTCCTTCTCCTGGTCAATCTTGTCTGCGGGGCGAGCGGAGCGGGAGGGGGGGTCAGGCCACCCTCCCAAAGAGTAGCGATCGGGGTCTCTGCCCACTGCGCCCTCCTCGCCGTCCTCCTTGGGGGCCCCGTGGGAACGACGGTCCGGCCCGGGCAGAGGAGTCGGAAGGGGCCAGGCTTGGCCTTCAGACACTGAGGCTCCAGGAAGACCAGCCAAGCCCAGGGGCAGGGGCCGGAAGCAACGACCCTGATCTCCAGCAGCGGGTCTGGGCGCCCCAAGGGCAGAGCAAGAACCGCGGGGAAGAAACGGGGTATGAGGTGTCCAGGCGGAGTGGGCCCGATACCGGGGCAGCACCTCCCGTGGGCCCGTGGGTGGGGCTGACCAGGTGGGACCAGGGCGCCTCAGCAGGGGGCCGTGGGGGGCTGGGCAGGGGCGCTCACTCTCGATCCTGAGCTTCTTCTGCTCCAGGATGTGGAGCTCCTTCTTGGCCACGTCCAGGGAGACCAGCTGCTCCTCGCGCTCCTGCGTGGCCTTCACCATCTCCTGCTGCAGCCGCAGCCAGGCCACCTGGGCCTGCGTCATGCTCGCGTCGTGCTCCTCCAGCAGTCTGGTTAGCCTCTGGATCTCCAGCTCCAGGGGCCCCACTTCTTCCCCCTGAAAGCGGTGTTCGCCAGAAAGCAGACCGAGCCTCTAGGTCAGGGCGGGCTGCAGAGGGCGGGGACCCCGTCATGGGATCTCTCCCATGAAGGCCCAGGTCATATGGTCAGACCCGCTGTGGGTGATTCGGGTCTGGAGGGTCTACCGCCCCCGCCCCCGCACTGGTCCGGCCCTTCCATCCCCAGCCTTGCAGAGGCAGAAGCAGGGGCAGCAGGGCCTCCATTACCCAAGGAGACTTTGCAAGTTGCCTTTTAACAGCAGACTGTCATGGGGCAGGGTCTTCACTCCCTTAGAATCCTCGCGGTTGCAGCTTTGAGACCATTCTCTGGTGCCTGGGGTCTCCCTAAGAGTGCACCCCCAGCCGCCCGTCCTGCTCTGGGGTTTGGAGCCGTCGGTGGGGCCCTTAGGTCTGGGGTACCTGGAGGACCTATAGGACTGCAAGCCCCAAGCTCAACAGACCGCTTCACTTAGAGCAGCGGTCGGGGGGGACCCTGCCTGCTGCCTGTCGTCACACAGCCCGTGGGCCACACGACATTCTAAAGAAGAGGAGCTCATGCCAGGTGGAGGCTGCAGGATTCAAACTTCAGGGCCCCGGGGTGAGCTTTTCCTGCCCACGGCTATGCCCGTCTGTTCCTGTGCAGCCACTGCGGGGAGGAGGGGCTGCGACAGGACCATCGGGCCATAGCGCTGAAATACGGACTGACCAGCCCGACAGAGAGGGTCGCAGGCAGCCTGCGGGACGGCATTCCGCACACGTGTGCTTCACCTGGGAGATGGGCAGGGACGGGCTGCCCGGGTTCTGTGCGAGCTCGCTTCTAAATGCAGGACAGCCCCCGGGGCCAGCTCCCCTGTCAGCCAGAGTGGCCCTCCTGGCCCTGGGCCTCACCCCAAGCTCCGACACCGTCTGCTCCAGCTGCTTGTTGAGGAAGTTGATGAGGCCTTGTTTCCTCTCGATCAGGGTCGTGCGCCTGGAGATTTCGTTTTCACTGTTTGTGATGAGGTCGTTGACTTTTTTCACTTCCGTGTCCAGCTCGGCCAGCGTCTTCTGGTGCATGTCCAGCCTGCAGTTGGTGTTCGTGATGTCCAGGGTGGCCTGAGCAATGTCGCCATCAATTTTGGAAAGATGTGTCACCTGAATCAGCAGAAGGAAACATGAACAAACTTTCTCTGTTTTGGGGGAAGGCTCCAGAGGAGTGGGCTGGCTGCCCGTTTCCTCGAACATCCGGGTGTGCACCTGCAGAAACTGCAAAACCTGATCAGGAGAGGAGGCTGTTGGCTTCCTCCCCATCTCAGGACCTGTCAAAGGACCTGCATGTTGGAACCCTGATGATTTATCACAAATAAAGTTAACATTACTGTTTTCCTTTATCAGAAAACAGTGACACACATCATGGGGGACGTGAAAACGCAGGTGATTACCTATAAACCTTCTGCACAGTCGGCCACCATCACAGCTGAAGATCCACCCTGCCTTCCAGTCTTTGTATACAAACCCCCTTCCTCCCCTCCAAAAGCAACAACAGGATCGCACTCCACGTGTAGGTTTGTAGCCGCTTTTCAATTTGACACATCTGATGTTCTCACATCACATCATTGCTAGTGACTGCGGTGCTCTACCACATCTGTCCCAGAGCTTAGGAAGCAGGTCGCAGCTGTCCTGGGCCCACCCACCTGTTCCACAGCTATCACAGGCGCTGCTCCCTGCGGCTCGTATGCTCCGGGGAAGGAAACCAAGATGCCTGCCCTCTGTGAGCGTGCCTCTGTTACTGGTGTTCCTACTCTGAATAATGTTGTGGCAAGCTCTTAACAACTGCTCATTTCTATTCGATGGGACAAGTATCCTTACATTTTACTGAAAAGCTGGACGCAGTCCTGGAGAGAGAAGGTTGTATTGTGGGGCGCCATCTGCCACCAGCCAGGGGCTTGTGACCCTGGGGCTCTCGCCAGCCTTGGGCTCTGGAGGCAGGAGCATCTGCCCAGAGTGGAGCAGCCTGGGCCCTGCAGGGCCGTCTGCCATCCTGAAGCCGGGACCAGCCCACCCTGCCTCGTCTGCTGGCTCAGAAGACAGACTCGTTCTGCCCCTTCCCACGACAGACAGCTGATCATAAGGATACTTGTGAGAATCAGGGAACTGGGCAGCTCTGGCTTTGGGACCAGGCCCTTTTTCCCCAGGCCCTGGCTCTGCCCTGACCCTGCCAGCCCCCCGCCACTGGCTGCCCACCAGCTCCTGCCGGGCACATCCTCAGCTCTCTCTGGGCCCGCGGTTCCCAACAACCCCCAGCCCCATCTCCGTTTCACCCCACATGACCATGTGACCCCAGCTAGCTCTGTCACACACTCACTGTCTGACTGGGTACTGTGGATGGCTTTCCAGGACATCCCCAGATATAAAGCCAGACCCTGCCAGCATCTCAAGTCACCCAGCCCCTAAGGTCACGCCTTGGTCCCTCTGAGCTCTGGTTATGCCATCCCTCTCTTTGCCAAGACCACCCAAGTTCACCAGGTCTTCAGAGGGGCACACCTTCTTCTCTGCCCCAGCGCTCCACCCTGGAGGGGAGGGCTTCAGTTCCTAAGTCCCCTTTCAGCCACCAGCCAGGCCAGCCAGAGCACATGGCCTCTCTCCAGCGACATTCTGGCTCATTGCTCACCCTGGCATCCTTCTGGGATGTCAGTACGGCTCCTGGATTAACAGCGGAAACCCACACCCGCCCCCCTCCCTGTTCACCTGTGCCTGCCCTCCCTCTGGACCCAGTTCCGAATGATTCTGCCCATCCACAAACTCTGCTCTTTGTCCCAGATATGCCCACACCCCCTACCACCAGCCCAAGGGGGTTTTGAACAGTTCAAGCAAAGTGCCCCCTTTTAAGAGCTGGATTTGCATCTCCTGGCAATTATTGCAAGGAACACTGGCCCAGGACTCATTTCTGTCCTCTGCTGGACATCGGTGGTAGTACACATGACGCCCACCAATTGTAACAAATGCTGGACAAGGACTCTTTACTACCCTCCGGTGGACATCGGTGGTAGTACACATGCCGCCCACCAACTGTTGCAACAAATGTTGGCCCAGTACTCTTTACTGCCCTCCGGTGGACAACTGTGGTAGTCCACGCACCTCCCACCAACTGTTGCAACAAATGCTGGACCAGGACCCTTTACTGCCCTCCGGTGGACATCGGTGGTAGTACACATGCCGCCCACCAATTGTGACAAATGCTGGACCAGCACTCTTTACTGCCCTCCGGTGGACATCGGTGGTAGTACATGCGCCTCCCACCAACCGTTGTTCACAAATCCTGGACTAGGACTCTTTATTGCCCTCCGGTGGACATCAGTGGTAGTACAAGTGTGGACCAGTACTCTTCATTGCCTTCTGCTGCATATTAGTAGTAGTATGTGCGCCACCCACCAGTTGTAACAAATGCTGGTCCAGGACTCTTTACTGCCCTCGGCTGGACATCAGTGGTAGCACATGAACCACCCACATTGGGAACTGGTGAAGGGGTCTGCCAGGGGGCCTGGGGACCTGCCTCTGCAGTGCTGCAGCAAAGCTGGCAGGTTACTGCACGCCCACCATGCTCCTTAGCTTCTACAGTGTACCCTTGGGACCCCTACTTTTGTTCCAAGCAGGTAGTCTTGCCCCTCTTCCACCAGCGTCAGCCAGGACATCCCAAGGAGATCCAGCCACGCTCAGTCTGGATTCCAGCCCTGTCTCCCCAGTCCCGTGGCACAACCAGGCCAAGAGCGAACTGGCTTCCTCCCAGGTGTCTGAGAGGGGTGAGGTGCCTCAGGCTGCCAGCCAGGTAGACAGTGGCCCTGAGGCAGGGGGTCATATCATGGAAAGAGCCAAAGGAGAAACAATTCAAGTAATGAATTGCTTTTCTAAGGACACAGGGACACCCCCCACTCCCTGAGAAAAGCAAAACCCCTGGGGAAGCAAGAGAGAACTCATGTAGGGGGAGGGGAAAGGAGAGGGTCCCCAGGCCAGGAGGGCCAGTCATAGTCACTCAGGACCTCCAGGCACACCCTGGGCAGAGGCAGAGGCTTGGGCAGCTCTGGAATCCATTTAAAGTGCTCCTGCCCATTTGACGAGGGTTTCTGCTGCAGTTTATCCTCAGACACGCAGACAAAGATGTGTGAACGTGCAAGTTCAGTGCTGAGCTATTTATAATGTTTGAAACCTAAAAACAATCTGAAATGTCTAATGAAAGAATTGTTAAACAAAACACATGTACTCATAGGATGAACTGTGATGCATGAACTGTCATGTACCTTTCCTAGGAATATTTAATGGAAACTGTTATGCTGAATATGGCCAATAAGGTAAAATAAAATACTGTGCAGATACTGAAAAATTCATCAGGTCCTACACTTGTTCTTTGTGCACTTTTCTGTGTCATATTTTCAGTAAAAAATGAAGAAAAGTGGATCAGAATGGTTCCAAAACTGATAAACAGTAAGAGCCCTATGTCCTCTGAGGCTGTGTCTGCGTGTGTCTTTGTGAGTATGAGTGTGGCTGTGTGTGTTTAGAAAATTTTCCAGGAGGAAATGTACCACAATTTCAGAGGAGATTGTGTCTGGACAGTGGGATTGTGGCTGTCTTGCTTTCCTCTCATGCCTTTCTGTGTTTCTGGGTTTTCTACAATAAAAATGTATTGCTTTTACAACTAGAAAAAAAAACAACAAAAGGTGAACAGACGCGCCGCACGCCCCTTGCTCACGCTGATTCCACGGCGTGTGGTGTGTTCCCTGCGAGAGCCGCCCCGGACCCCTTCTCCCTGGGGGCACCTGCCCCTGGCGGCCTGGGTGTGTGCAGGAGCCGTACCAGGTTGGTCTTCTCCTTCTGGAGCTTCAGGATGAGCTGGTGGAAGTACTTGGTCATCTTGTTGGAGGTCATGTGCTCCCGCAGCTTCTCCACAATGCAGACATCCATCTTCCCCCGCTGCTCCGCCTCGTGCCGGACGGTCTGCTGGAGAGTCTGCAATTCGCCGAGGGTCGCCGTGTATTCCTGGGAAGGGAGAGGCAGAAGTGGATGCTGTGCAGGCGGCCGGGAGGCACGTGGCGGGGGGACGTGGCCGTACCGCGTGGGCCTTGCCCAGTGCGTCCTCCGTGTCCAGCAGGGTGAGCCTGTAGGTGCTGAACTCGTTCTGCAGGGCCTCGTCCTTGGCCAGGCCCTGCGAGATCAGTTTCTGCATCAGGCTGGCCTCCGTCTCCGCCCGGTTCAGGATGCTGGCCAGCTTCTCATTCTTTTCTTCCTCCTTCATGATGGACTTCTTATAGGCTTCGAGCTCGCCGTCCATGGACTTGACTTGGTGCTGGCATTCACTGCCAACACAGAGAGGGTAAAATAGGACATCAGAACACCAGTGTGGATGGTGGTACCCCGCTCGGAGGACGCCCACAGGGTAGAGAGAAAGAAATTAGGAAGCCAACTCTTCACAGCAGCCGAACCTTGACTACTGGTTTCTAGCACATTAGAACTATTACCCATTTCAAGCTCAAGTCTAAAACTCTTGGGATGCTATGACTGTGGGAGGGGGAGAGGGAAGGAAGCTGCTGACTTGTGCTGGGCGGGGCGGGGGTCGCCGCCAGCCCCTCCCCTCCAGTCGTGACCATCACCTTGGAAAGGAAATGCCGTCACCCCGGGTTTACAGACGTGCACGCTGAGCCCCGAGCCCCCGAGGCTCTCTCCCCACGGCCGCAGTGACCGCCGGGACTGGGGGGAGCGCAGGCGGCCGTCTCTTCAAACCCCCTCCGCGCGCCGGCCGTGGGCACGCCCGCAGCGCACGTCCGGGTGAAAGACGCAGGTCCTGGCTAATGGCGCTCGAACGTCTGCGTGCGAGCCCGCTCCCCCTCTCGTTCTGAGCTGTCCCGCTGCACTTCTAACGTGCTTTTCTCCACTGATGGCACTTTATCCTCTGAATAAGTTCTTCTTCAAAAATTCAAAAAAATAATTATTTTCTTGGACTAGAATAACACCTTGCACGTCTCTCACAGCTACTCCCAGGCCCTTGGGCCTCTTCCTCAGGCAACCTGTCCCTGCCTCTCACCTGCCTTTCCGGATGCACTTCAGGCGCTTACAGTCACCATGCTGCACGTGTTTATGTATTTCTCCCCGCTTAGAAAATTACAAGTGGAAACTCAGGGTGTCCTGTTCTGCGTCTTACTTTGTCCTGTGCTGTGTCTTACAGATAGTCAGTGTCGGCGCACAGAGATCGCCTTGATTCTTTCCAACGACCAGATAGCATTTTAAGACCTCATCGGTACGCAACTAGGCTCTTTCCAGTTTTCTGGGGTTTTCCCCCTGATTTCACCAGTGCAGCAATAAACATCTGTACAGATTTAAAAAAAGATACTGCAGAGATACTGTGTTTATGCAGCAGAAGATTCAATATTATTAAGGTATCAATTCTCCCCAGACGGATTTATGGACTCAGTACAACTCCAGTATCAATGCCAGTTAGGCACTGTTTCTCTTCAGAACTTGACAAGCTAATTCTAAAATTTGTATAGAAATCCAAAGGTCTAGAATAGCCAACACAATTTTGTAGAAGAACAAAGGCTTCCACTATCTCATCTCAAGACTTTGTAGAAAGCTGTGCTTATGGAGATAGTGGGGTGTTGGTGAGAGAATAGACAGGTCAGGATGGAGAGCGTGCGCACACACACACACACGCAAGCACACGCACACACGCGCACGTGCGCACACACACACGCAGTGACTGATTTCTGACAAAAGTCCCACAGTGTTTTGATGGAGAAGGGACAGTCCTTTCACTAGTGGTCTAGGGCAACTGGAGAGAAACATGCAGAAAAAAGGCTGAACCTCAAAAATTAACTTGAAATAGACCACATACCTAAATGGAAGAGCTGAAATTATAAACCTTCAGCAGAGAACATAGGAGAAAATCTTTATGACTCTGGGTCAGGCAAAGATTTCTTAGAGATGACATAAAAAACATGAACTATGAAAGAAAGAAATTAATAAGTTGGACTTCGTCAAAATTTAAAACTCTGGCTCTTCAAAAGACACCACTGAGCAAATGAAAAGTCAAGCCAGACAGGGAGAAACATGTTTTAAAAATACACGTCTGACAAAAGAACTTGTATCCAGAACACATGAGAGCTCATAATTCAACAAACAGATAAGTCACTTGGTTTAAAAATGAGCAAAAGACAGCTAATCGGGGAAGATCTATGGACGGCAAGCAAGCACGGAGAGGTGCGCCACGGCACTAGTCCTGGGGAGACGCAAACTGAAGTCCCGATGGGACCCCAAGACGCACCTGCGAAGCGCCAAAACGAAAATGGCAGTATCATGAAGTGCTGGCGACGGGGAGGGTGACGGGGACTCGCATCCCTTGTGGTGGGAGTGCAGACTGGAACGAGCCACTCCGGAAAACACTTTGGCAGCTTGTTCCAAACTAAAATACACACTTACCAGCAACGCCATGGAAACGTCGTCTAGACCAAAACCTGTCCAGTGTGCACAGCAGCTCTTTCATGCCGGCCCCAAACTGGAAACAACCGGTTGCCGATGTACCGTCGCCAGCAAGGGCAGTGAGAACAAATGAGCTATTGATCTGGCAACACGAGGACGACTCAAAGCGTCATATGAAGCGCAAAATGCCAGGCAAGGAAGTCACACGTGTCGTGTGACTTCACGTGCAAGACATTCGGGAAATGACAAGCCTACAGGGACGGACAGCAGGGCAGGCTCTGCTGGGGGCTGGCGGTGGGGAGACGCGCTGACTTTTGGGGACGCAGGGAACATCTGTGACCTTGAGTGCACGATGCTCACTTGCCTCTGTCCATTTGCTGAACCAAACTGTGCACTGGAACAGGATAACTTCTGTGCATCATAAGTCTCCACATAAATTATCCTCAGTTCAACTGATGGGTTAAAAACTTACTCATTTTCTCTTTTAGGAAGTAGCAGCCTTATAAATGACAATAAAACGAAGACATCCAATCTGTATGACAGAAGTCTGAACACTCGCTGAAATCTACCCACGGGGGACAGACACCGGGACGCCAGCCGATCAATTGTCACCGTTACAAAAGGGGAAAGCCACTGGTACTCTCACATCCTTGTCGCTTTTTCTAATTTCCAGTAACATGATCACTTACCTACCCTTGATAAAAATTACTTTTAAAGAAGACACTTTAAAAATTTCCTTGATTAGCAGATACCGATAGAAAACAAATGAACCCAGAAGAGCTGGTGGACTCCGAGGATGCTTGAGGCTCGGCCCAGTCTGTCTGAAGGTTAAGAGGGAACTTGGTACAGGATCTCAAGGTGACGAAGCTGACAGATTAACACCTGGCGAGGCCTGAGCCCTGCCCGCCCCGCGTGTTTCCTGCCAGGAGGTCCGACAGAGGCAGACAGCGGGGCACAGTGGCCCTCTCCCTGCGGGGGTGTGAGTTCTGGGCAGGGTGTCCCCTGCCGCCCGAGCTCAGCACAGTACTGTCTTTGTATTTTCTGGCCTATTTTGAGACACTTCACATGAAAATGGCCCGTTTGCTTCAAATGTATGACTTGCAGTGTTTGCTCCAGCCTCCCACGTGACCCTTCAGCTGGGGCTGTGACCGCCCCCCCTGCTGCGACTTTGACGCTAACATTGCACAGATTTGGTGGGAGGCGCCGTCTTTAAAGCCTGGGTGTGGCGGGGACCAGTGTGGACCTCTCTGTCTCAGGTCACCCCCTGGGTCCGGGTCAGCAGGACACGTCCACCAGCCTCGGGAGGCCCGGGGAGGGACACCGCTCGGCCTCCCCAAGGGGAGGAGGGACGGGACACGGTGCGTCATCGGAGCAATCAGTCCCCTAGGGCCTCGCCCACACCCCACGTCCGGGGACACGTTTTTACCCGGTGCCCTCTGTGGTGGCTGTGGCCCAGGTCTTCAGGGCTGCAGGCTTCCCTGGGCTCAGGGGAGGCTGGTGGGGAGGGGGCACCTCCTGCCAGACCCCAGGCCCGAGGGAGGCCCACTGGGCACGGTGGCAGTGCCTGCGCCCAGCTCACACCCACTCGCCCCTTCTCCACAGGGGAGGGATCCCCGCCCGGCCCAGACAGCTGGGGGGGGGCCGGCCTCGTGGCCCACGTCCGGGCCACCAGCCCGGACTATCACCATTTTCGTTCATTTTCTAAAATGGCCAACATGCTACGGATTGGCATTTAGTATTTAGTTCAGCTGCTGAACTGGCCTGGAAGCCACAGGCGATGCCATACTTTGTTTTTGCGACGCCCTGACCTTCGCTAAACCGTCTTGGTTTCCTCCTTCACACCTCCCCGCAGCTCCGCAGCCAGAGCGCACGGCTCTCACGGCGTCCCGTGCGGGCAGCACGTTCTGGGCGGCGGGGGCGCTCACGCCTCTGTGGCTGGTGCAGTTAGAGCTGCAGGAAGGAAGCTGAGCCAGAGTCACTACAAGCCATCACTTGCTAGGAGTGTGTGTGTGTGTGTGTGTGTGTGTGTGTGTGTGTGTGTGTGTGTGTGTGTGTTGTT